CGTCTCGAGGGAACCTTGGAAAAGGATGCGGCGTGGCTCGTTCGAACTGTCGGTGGGGACGGAAGGACGGGGAAAGACAGTTTACAAGGCATTGACGATTAGAGTGACTCAATGACTGAGGGTGGACACGCGTGGCTATCGGCGGCAGGAGCACGCGACGTTTCCAGAGCGTATCGCGATCGCAATAAATTCACATTAAACTATCTGCTGGTAGCCGACCGCAGGTTTAATCTGCGTGCGGCTGTCGGCGCGTCGATTCAATTTTCGAATTTCCCGTCCTCGTCCCGCCTCCTGTTCCAGCAGCGCGTTTCGAGAAATCCCTAATCCGAGCAGCAGGGCTGTGCGTGCTCGGGAAAACACGGGGATACAATGGCGCCTCGGCACCTCGGCACCTCGGGTTGCGCATTAATTCCTAGTAATTATCAGAGGCGTAATTCACCGCGGAGGGTCTCGGGTCGCGTCCGGGGTCGCGGCCACTGCGTGTTAACGCCGTTGTTATGCCCCATTATTGTCCTGCCTTCCTAACGAAGCGACGGGACACGCGGAATCGCGCCGGCTCCTAGAAGTTGGAGGGTGACGCTTCGAAAGAATTGGTCAACGAGAGGCCGGAGGGGTGGAGGGGGAGGCGCTTCGGGCGAGCATAGGTGTGCTCTCTCGCAGTTTGCAACGTTCTCCATGCGGAACTGCGGTTCCCGTCTGACTTATCGAGAACAGTTCCGAATCGAATGCCGAGGCAACGTAAGAATCGAATTGCCACCGCGTAACGAATCGCAATGAAAATTGATAAAACATTTAATCTTCCCTTCTCCGGAGCGAAGATAGTATTACTAATTTATTTAAATGGAGTTATCTCTCCGAAGCCCCCGATAGAAATGTAAATTGGACACCCCGACCGAATCAAGGGGGTAATGGCACGAATAAGATAAAGGTATTTTATTGCTTTGTGGTGGGACATATTTAAGCAGGGTCAAAGGTTCCGGAGTTTTTCGATCGACCGGTGGGACTTTTGAATCGGGCTGTGGCTCGCGCTCCGGATCAGGCCCCCGCGGCTTTGGGATTTTTACAGGTGGAGCCGCACTGTGCGACTGCGGCGCAGCATCCCTTTCTTTCGAAGGGTGGAACCGGACAGCCGAGTGCTCGTCGATCCCTGCCGCCCCGCGCCCGCCGCTTCCTCGTAAATAAAGCTGTGCCCCGTAACATCCGCCAAATTCGGACGGATATATTAGTCCGGCGAAACGGCCGGGCGTAACAAAGGGGCAGTTGAAAAAATAGGAAGGCAGGGCGCGCGCGGTGGCGATGCTGAAAGTGGCGGAGCCGTCGGGAGCGCCGCCACCGCCGCCACCGCAGCAATAATTCCAAACGAAATGTCAGCCGGCTCCATTGTCGCGTGCTGCTGGTAAGCGGCAAACTGTGCAACGAAATATCACGCGGTAAATCATCAAGCTGCTGCGAAGCCCCAAGTCTTCCTTCGGCTGACGAGAAGACGCCGACGTCGTTTTCCTCCTCTTGGAGCAGACGCTCGATCGTAGCGTGCGCAGCGAGTGGCCCTTGTGGCCCTTCGTCAAATTCTTTGGAGACGCATCGTGTTGTCAGTCAAATCTGCTCTGGGGATTAGCGTGAGAGCTGAGTAAGCTGCGTGTTCGCAGTCGAATAACACGATCGCGCTGAAGGACCGTGACGAATCGACTAAAGCAGAGCCCCCCAGAGCCCCCCAGAGCCCGGTTCAGAGTTCAGGGCGCAACCCTGAACCGTACCATAGCGAACCGCAAGTTCGCTATAGTAGGCTCCAGGATCCAGGAGGATCCAGGAGGATCCAGGAGGATCCAGGAGGATCCAGGAGGATCCAGGAGGATCCAGGCTCCGGCCTCGGCGACGCGTTCGTGACGACCGATGATTTTCCACGACGAGTCCCTGTCGCGACTTACGGGTGATCTGGATGAGCCGATGATCGATATAGATCGGAGGTCGCACGTCCGATCGCAGCAGGGCTCTTCTTGGCAATTGGATTTCGGCAATTGGAGCTTCGAGGGAAATCGGCTGCTCGGCTGCGCGGCTGCCTCGCAGGAGGAGATTACAGCTGCGGCTATCGATTGGTCGTTAGGTCGTTAGGTCGTTAAGACGCAAGTTTCTCCACGAGGAAATTTAAGATTTAATGTTTCGGAACGGACGCCATATTAGCATATGCGCGTCCAATCGTTGCCCACGTGGCAGGCGCCGTGGCGAATCAGCCCCGAGCTATGACATTGTCATTATTTCAGTGACAGAACAAGCATGCGCGTGATTCTCCACGGGGCACGGAAAGTATCGCTAACAAGGGTGGGAAGACGAGAGAGAACCAAGTGGAATGGAATGGCGAAGGGTGGCAAAGGGGGGCGGAGGGGGGGCA